ATTTCTAAAGTTCAAGTTGTAGTTGAGCCCTTCACCCAGGGGGTGTGCTGTATACCCTTATATTGTGCACATTAGGTAACAGCTTACCAATCCTCCTCCCTTCTCCCCTTTCCCCTTTTCTTCCTTCCTCCTCCTACTTGTTTTTTTTCTCTCCTGCAGGTCTGTAGTTGTTTTGCTATTGGCTTCATGTTAGTATTGAGTATATTGGATACTTGCTTTTCCATTCTTGTGATACTTTACTAAGAAGGATGTGCTTCAGTTCCAACCATGTAAATACAAACCTGTAAAGTCTCCATATTTTCAGGGCCGAATAATAACTATTCCATGGTAGACACATACAGCAGTTTACTAATCCATTCATGTGTTGATGAGCACTTGAGTTGCTTCCACATTTTGGCAATTGCGAATTGAGCTGCAATAAACATTCTAGTGCAAATGTCTTTCTGGTAAATTTTTTTTTTCTGGATGAATACTTATTAATGGGATTGAAGGATCAAATGGAAGTGCTCTGAGGATTCTCCATACTTCTTTTCGTAGCGCTTGTATTAGTTTGCAATATCACCAGCAGTGTAGAAATGTTACCTTCTCTCCATATCCATGCCAGCACCTACAGACTTGTGACCTTGTTATGTGAGATAATCTCACTGGAGTTAGATATTTCAGAGTAGTTTTGATTTGCATTTCTCTGATGATTAGGGATGATGAACATTTTTTCATGTGTGTGTTGGCCATTCGTCTGTCTTCTTTGGAGAAATTGCTGTTCATGTCTCTTGCTCACTTATAAATGGGATTGTTTGCTCTTTTCTTGTTGATTAATTAATTCGAGCTTTCTATAGATTATAGTTATCAGTCCTTTATCAGACTCATAGCATGCAAATATCTTCTCCCCTTCTGAAGGTTGTATATTTGTTTTAATTGTTGTACCCTTGGCTGTGCAAAAGCTTTTTAGCTTGATCATCATGTCCCATCACACTACACATCTTTCAATAGAAGAAATAGTGATTATAATTACAAACAACATGGGTAGAAATAATATGTTTTAGGTGAGAAAAAAACTGTCCTTCTTAAAGGCAGTAATTATAGGACAATAATCCCCAATTCCAATGATTCTTTTTACAGAACCCTTAATTCATGGAATTCCAATGTTGATTTAAATTATTTTTATAACAATATAAATGCACAAAGGCAAAACTGGGTATAAATTCCTTATGTTTATTGTTGTCATACCACTTAAAACCAAATGTAAACATTAATTTTAGAAATTACAACTAACAAAATTACAACCCAGTAATATCTAATTTACAAACACAAGATAATGTGCTAAATTACATTTTGTTAAAAACAAACTGCTCTTTATGATAGGAATATGATATTGACTTCCAAGGCCCATTTTTTTTTTTTTTTACAATTGAGGTACTTATGTGTTTTTTATTGCCTCAGTTCTCTCATCCTTTTATTTGGAGGTTTGTGAGACTGTGGGACTTTTGTGTAGTCTCCTAGTCCATTTTGTGCTATTATAGCAGAATATCACAGACTGGATCATTTATAGTGAACATAAATATATTGGCTCATAGTAGTGGAGGTTGGGAAGTTCAACATCAAGGTGTTGGCACTAGCAAGGGCCTTCTTTCTGCATCTCACATGGTCGACAGTAATAGGGTGAGAGAGCAAGAGCAGGAGCAAGATAGTGTGAGAGGAAGACATTAAGATTATTTCGTTCCTACTTTGGAAGATTTGGTGCCATTATTCTATCCCACCACAATAGTTATATTTGTTACATTGTTTCTAATATGTTTATGTTATAGTATTTTTATAGTAATTGTTGGTGATTTAATAGAAAATTTAAAGAAGAACACTTTTTCTTATTTTATCAAAGATGCTAATATTTATTTCTTAAATTGCTTTTCTTGGATTTAATAATGCCTTGTATACTTGATTTCTTCTTAATCTATTTTCTTATCACTAAATTGTCCTAATATCTCCAAAAGGATATTATTTGCTATATGATTATGTAAGTAATCAATTAGTTCAATTTGCTTTTTCAAAAGACATTTCTTTTGGAGCACCCCATCTTTCTACCTCAATCTGGATGAGCTGTCTGCTGGCCTCTGCCATGGATCCTACATGGCATTCTTTCTCCCTAGGTTTGGTAAGGCACATCCTTCAGTAGCTTTCTGAGGAAGGACACGGGGCACTTTACTGATCGAAAAATATCTTAATCCTAATCTCATACCAATTGATAATTACTTGGATTTAATTCCAGATTGAACACAGAGTGTTTTTTTTTAAATTCAAATGCATTTTTAAAAATATATTTCTAGTGTTCACATTTGCTGTGGAGATATTGTTATAGCTCTGTAAGAAATATCTTAATTCTTGCCTTGATCCCCCATTGGTCCAATATTTTGTGTAAATTTTTATTCTTTTGTCAGTCTCTAACATGTTCTAATATTCTTGTATTTTTTCCATGTATTGTCTTTATTTTGGTATTTTCATTTTTCTTTCTGGTAGTTTTAATTTTTTATGATATTTGGATCTTTTCATTTTTTTCCCTCACTCTTTTACCTCTTAACATCTTTACACAGTTTTGTTGACCCTCTTTTAAACAAACACGGTCCTTATTTCATGCAGTTTCTTACATTATTTCCCTTAGAATGTTAATTGTGCCTTTGTTGAAGTTTATATTCTGTTTTGAACTATTTTTATTTATTGGTTTAAACATCTTTGATGCTGAAAATGACAGGTGTCCTCAAATGACAGGTGTCCTTGGTGGTTTGTTCATAATTAAGAGAGAAACACTAATAAATGATTGAATGCTCCATGTCTGATGAGAACTTGACAAGTTGTGGGTGTCACCATAGGTCAGGGTTTCTTAATATCAGTTTCCTCAATATTGGGGAATTCTCAGTATTGGCAATCTTGATTGTCAGTAACATTGACATTGCGGGTGGATAATTCTTTGTTGTCTGTCCTATGGATTGTAGGAGGTTTGACAGCATTCTTGGCCTCTATCCACTAGATGCCAGCAGCATCCCTCCCAAGTATGACAACAGAAAATATCTCCTAATATGGCTAAATGTTTCCTGGGGATAAGATTGCTGCAGCTGAGAATCAGTGCTCTACATGATCAAGTGGAGACCTAGTCATTTTGATCACCTGGCCATTTTTCTTTTTTTTTTTGTTGGGGGAGGGTGATAGCCGAATGTTAGCTTTTGTAGCTATCTTACTCAGGATTCTTCATAAAATCAGAATCAATAGTGTATGTGTATGTGGGGGGGGGGGAAGGAATTGGATTACATGATTGTGGAGGGTGACAAGTCCAAATCTGCAGGTGAGCCAGGAGTCTGGAGACAAAGAGTTCATAGTGTAGTTCAACTCCAAAGGCAGTCTGCTGGTAGAATCCCCTCTTTTTCAAAATAGGGCATATTTTCTTATTACAGTCGTCAGCTGATTGGATGAGTCCCATCCACATTATGAAGGGAAATCTGCTTTCTTATTCAAAGTCTACTGATTTAAATGTTAATCTAATCCAAAGAAAATCTTCACAGGAACATCTAAAATAATGTTTACCAAATATCTGGTACTGTGACATAGCCAATATGGAACCTAAAATTAGCCATTATAGTAGATTTTTCCTTTTTTGGCATTTCATTATTTATTTGGATGTTTAAGCTCTCACACTAAGTTTTTAGAAGCTGGTGAACACTGACAAATTATTTCTCCCACAGAACTATAACCACACACTCCCAGACAGTATAAATATATGGTTAAACTAACATTAATACACATCACCATTTTATCAATTACATAATAAAACAAATTATCAAGTATCCAAATATTAAGATACATAGCTCAAAAGGCATATGTAAAATATTTATTAGATGTATGCTCAATTCATTAGCAGAAACTCACTTTTTTTTTTTGCAAGCGGTTGGAAAGAAAAGGAAAAAAAATCACACTTTGAACAAAAATAAGTTGGTAAACAACTTCTGATAAGTATGGGGAAAAATTACAAGAATTTCAGAAATTTTATGATTAAGAATTATTTTAGCTACAATTAACAAAGCATCTCTACTTTTAAAAAAATATTTACTAAATTAAAGAGCATGTTTCTACGTGTCCTGCACAAGACAAAGGCAATATTTTGCTAAAAAATATTTAATAGCTCCCTCCCATTCTTTTTTCAGGCCCTCCCTGTTAAGTTGTACCTCAGAGTGCAAATGTTAAATTAACCGTAAGGCTTTTTTTTTGTCTGAAGACAGTAAAGACATGTGCTTCAGTAGAATATAGATTTTCAAAATGGAGGTTTTTTATAACAGCACAAAATGAGATTTATAGAAACATTAAATAATCACTCTAAGACTTGGTTAAAACCCAAAAGAAAAAAAAAATCAATGGTATTAATGTGGGAGATGTAAACATAAAGTAAGCAGCCAAGTAACCCACGGGCCTTCTTTCACTGTCTGAAATGACTGGATAAACCACATAAGGTCTAGAGTGTTCATAGTTTCTGGGATTTTAGTTCTGTACAATACTAAAAATATACAAGTATTGTGCTGGGCATTTTGACACCTAATCTTTCTAAATTTCTTACATAGTAATAAGATTCTGGCATGGGAATAGATTTAAACAAGACATAACTCAGTAATACTGCATGATTTCAGGAAAGGTCAATTAGTACAAATGATAAGCACATTTCAATGCTGAACAGCACGAATCTTTTGCTTCAAAAAGATTGACTGTAACTGAAACATGGAGGTTGCAATTCTGTTAAGCTTGTGGCCTGGTAAAACTGCTTTACCATACTCCTATGGAAGCTTCATTAATTCAGCCAATGTATTGGCTAATACACGAACATATGACAAATTGGGTCCTGTATCAAGTTTTACTTCCAAGCCAACAGCATCAGCACCCCAGTTTTATTGAATGCAACAGTTGTTTCTGTGCCCATTGGAGTCTTTGAAGTGCAGCTGCATCTTACAATGATACTTCTCCAAATACTAAAGTTGCTTGCTGTTAAAAGCTCCCCGCCGCTTTTGTCTTATGAATTGTATGCATCTTCATATTTCATTCCACCTTCAATTAAAGTGAGACCAAGGAACACTGGCGCTGTCCAGCACAATGAATGGGAATACAACAGCCAGGTTCTTCAGGAAACTTGATTTTTACAAGACTTAACCGGTCATCAGCAATCTGTTTAGACGGTGGTGCACCATCATCAAAAGGCCAGTCGAGAACATGGATGCCTTCTTTCTCCACAGGAGTAGTGTCATAAGTTGCTTCACACACTCTTACTATTGTGGTAACTCCATACTTCTTAAGTTCCACTATAAATTTGTTTAAGGTCACATTGGTTGGATTGTGCGTAGTAAGAAATCTCATGTTCTTGTAGGTGACTTGTGCAGGAGCTGGGCAGTTCATTCTGGCTATGTTAATTTCATTAAAAAACACTCAAAAGGGTTACAAAAGAATTTAAAAAATTGAATACAGAAAGGATGCAAAGAAACTGCAGTCTACTTCACTATGCTCCACTTGAAATTCTCAGTGCTTTGAGGATGAAGTTGGAAATAATGATACGATAAATGGAAATGAACCTCCTAACAAGCAGCAGCAATTCTTCAATCCAGTGATACCGAGGCAACAGAAAGGAAGTGCCCTGAGGTTTACCTCATCCAGGTCAGAACTCCTGTAAAATGCTCTGCAGATCTCAAGGCAACACTTCTGTGTCCAGGTTAACCACTCTTAGGTGGGCTTCTTGGTGGAGGAGTAATGAATTTCTACAGTTCACTTGTCTGCATAGAGGTCGTGCTGTGCCTGGCAGTAATCTCCACTGCTCTTCAGAAACTCCATAAATGTGTGACCAAGAACAGCACAGAACTGAGGAATATGTTTACTCATTGAAGACTGTGGCCTAATTATCCAGCCTGTCCTGAGGTGGCAGTGGTGGCAGCTGCAGGGCAGGCGGTGGCGGTGGTCATGGTGGGGTGGCGGTGGGGGCATCAGACCCATTACAGTAGATTTTTAGATTTTTCAAAGAGAAATTCTACAATCTTCTCCTAGGGGCGGGAAGTTTCCTTTTTTCTATATGGCATATGTATGTCTTCCTTCCTCTTCATTGTTCCTGATGTGCCTGTGTCTGGCACTCGGATGAAACTTTCATTTCTCTCAAGGGTAGAGGATTAATAATCACTTGGATGTTGAAGAGACCTGTTGTATAGTAGTATTTTTTTTTTTTTTTTTTTTTGGTAAAACAAAAATCCAGCAGTGACACTGAAACTCAGTTATAAGGTAATCCTATCAATGATACAGAGTTGCTTCTATTGAGTATTTACAAGTATTATAAAAATATCAATGTAAAGTTAATATTATCATTAAGTAACAAGCTTTTGAAGGTAGGTCTATGGCACTGATTTTAAGAATCCTACATTAAGAGATTTCTCCAAACGTTATTGTGATTTCATTTTTAGAGATGAGAAAAGAAGAAATCAGCTATTAGTCTTCCTCTGGAAATATTGCTATAGATTTTCTTATGTTTTCTTCATGAAAAGGACTAAAAGTCATAATGCTTAAGTTTTGGATGTTATTGCAGATATATTTTGAAAGTAAAATATGTTGGAGATAATTTTATCTGGGTTAGGTAAAACTGTCCAGAAGCACGTTTGTCGTTAATTTCTTCAGTGAAATAGATTGGTGACCATTGTAGTCATTAGTTTCTTAACTCTTCTGGGGGGTTTGAAGACAAGCTTTTTTTGATTGATGTGAAAAATGTAATGGGTGATATATTAAACAAGGCTGAGCTTTGCTTTTGTACACATCTTTCTTTAACAAGTGATATTTGTAAACCATGCTTACTTTTATTGACTTGACCTGACAAATATATCGAGCTATTAAAAATAAAGGGCCAGTTGCATTTTTTTAATTGTTCAAAAAGCCACAAACTTCACATCTGTGTGATAATCCTCATGCATCCTCAGAGGAGCACTGGGCATAGACACGTGAAATTAGAAGGCATGGAAATTTCTGTAAAATATTTGTTTTTTAAATACAGTCAATCCTACACAAACTCAAATAATTGTGGAGGCAATATTCCCAACTCATATTATGAGGCCAATTTAGTCTAAGACCAAAACCAGATAAAGATATTATAAGAAAAGAATATCATGCACCAATATATCTCATGGAAAGAGATGTAAAAATCCTAAAACAAGGTCTAAAAAATTGAATTCAACAGTTTTTGCGAAGGACAATGCATTAAGTGGGCATATCGCAGGAACGAAAAGGTGATGTAACATTCAAAACCAAATCAAAGTGATTCATCATATTAACAGGTTAAATGGTAAAACCTGTATGATCATTTCAAAAGATGTTGAAAAGTCATTTGAGAAAAATCCAACATCCATTTATGGTAAAGTTTAAGCAAAAAGTATAAAGGAACATTCTCCACTTCATAAAGACATTTGGGAAAAACCTAGAGCAAATTATCCTCCTTGTAAAATGCTCTGCAGATCTCAAGTCAACACTTCTGTGTCCAGGTTAACTACTCTTATGTGGGCTTCTTGGTGGAGGAGTAATGAATTTCTACAGTGAAAGTCTCAGCATTCAGGAAATAGGCAACGATATCTATTCTCACCATTTCTGGTCAACATTCTACAGGAAATTGAAGGCATATTGATTAGAAAGAAATAAAATTGTCCTTGCAAATGACATGATAATCTATGTAGAAAATTTTATAGAATCTACTAAAAAGCTATTAGAACTAATAAGTAAATTTAGCAAAGTTGTAAGATATGAGGTTAATATCCAAATTATATTTTTATCTACTAGCAGAAAATGATGGAAATAAAATTTTAAACTACAATTTCATCAAAAATTATGAAATACTTATTTCATATGAGAGAAATTAAAAATTAACTAAATTGCAATATTTTCCTTGTCCATGCATTGAAATACAATATTGTTAAAATGTTGTTTTTTTTTCCAAATCACAGGATTCAACATAATCTTCATCAAAATTCTAATAGAAATTAATAAGGAAATTCATATGGAAATACAAAAGCTTGGAATCACCTAAAAATTTTTGATAAAAGAAGAGCAAAGTTGGAGGATTTGAGCTATCTGACTTTGGTACTTATTAGAAATTACAGTAATCACGATTGTGTGGCACCGGTGTCAAAACAGACAAATATGAGATTATATATCAGTGGCAAAGAACTAAGACTTGAAAAAATAAATGCAACCATACATGGTCAATTGATTTTTTTTTTTTTTACAGAGATTGCAGTCAATTCAATGGGAGAAGGAGAATTTTTCAGGAAATTGAGGAAGACTTGAATACGCTGTGCAAAACAAAATGAAAAACCCCATGTCAAATCAAATAGAAGAAAAAGCAACTCCCCCCAAAGCACTTCACTCTATATATTATACTATGTATAAAAATTAGCTCAAAGGGGACCATAAACCTAAATAAAAAACATAAAATTATAAACAAGAAAAGCACAATAGATATGTTGGAATTGAAAAAAATTCTAGGCTGGGCATGGAGGCTCTTGCCTGGGCAACAGAGTTAGACTCTGTTTAAGAAAAAAGAAAAAGAAAAGCGAAAAGAAAAGAAAGAAAGGAAAAGAAACGAAAAGTGAAATTCCATAGATACGACACCAAATGCATGAACTATAAGAGAAAAAAATTAATAAATTTGGTTTTATCAGAATTAAAAATATCTACTCTTTGTAATATATTTTTAACAGAATATAAAAATAAGTCATAGGAAAAAAATTTAAAAATCATGTATCTTATGGAGGACTTATAACTGGAATATAAAATGACCCTCAAAATTCAGTAACAAGAAAACAATCAAAACAATTTTAAAAAGTAGCCATTATATTTGGCTGCTTGACTAAAAGAGATTATAGTTGGCCAAAAAAGAATTAGATGAAATACTATAAATGTTGTTAGACATTAGAGAAGTAAAAATTAAAGTCACAATAAATATCTAAATTAGAAAGAATGATACATCAATCAAAAATATATAGCAATATGAAGTGTTGGTAAGAATATGAAGTACCTTGAATTCTTATAACTTGATAGTAGGAATGTGAATTGGCACAACCACTTTTGAAAATAGCTCCACAATTTCTTAAAAAGCTAAACTTATACCTATTAGATGGCCCAGTCATTATTCTCTTAGATGTTAATTCAAGATAAAAAAAAACAACACACGTTCATAGAAACAATTGTATACTACACCAACTTTGTTTCCAGGAAAAATATGAAAACAACACAAATAACTGTGTTATAGGTTAATGGGTAAACAAGTTATGGTATATTCTCAGAAAGGAATATTACTCAACAACAAAAGGAATGAACAACTGATTCATGCAGCATCGTGGAATCAAACTATTTTATAATCTCAAAATAGTTATGAGTGGAAGAAGAAGAAAAACAGTGGGTTTATAATGTAGGATATAGAAAATTCTAGAATATGTAAATTAATTTCTACTGTGAAATAGTACATCAGTTGTTGCCTGGGAATGGCAGGCAGTAGAGGAGATAAAAAAAAACAGGAGAAAGAGATGCTAAAGGAACACTAGTAAACACTTTGGGATAATGGGCATATTCATTTTCTTGACTCTGATGATGGCTTCATTGGTGTGTATACATGTGTCAAAACATCAAATGGTGTGCTTGACCCATATGTTACACCTCCTACTCTCCACTATAAACTGTCAAGAATTCCAGATCAACATAGTGTAAAGTAGGAGATGTGATTTTCACTGAGTTTAAAATTTACCCTTTAAGATGAACTACAATTTTAAATCAAAATTGCCATATTAAATTACCAATGATTATTAAATTTGTCTACTTTTATTTTTAGTCAAAAATGAGATTCCATAGCACGTTACTTTTGACTGTGACTGGAGAAACATAGAACTGTCTGATGTTTATACTGTGCATAGTTCAGGCAGCTGAAGAAACTGGCCATGAACATAGAGTAATGAATGTATATCTGTGTGTGTGTATTCTTTTATTAAGTGCAACAGAGATAATTTCAACATATAACCCCAGTAGCATTGATTTTACTAACAAAAACCTCAGTTAATTTAGCATTTGTTATGGAGTTAAAATTGGAAATATTATTTATAGTCAGTATTTTATGTAAAATTCTTTGAATATATCATAGAAGTTTTACAGCTGTGAATTTCCCCATTATTTCTCTGTATGTACAAATTCTTAGCTCAGTTACCAGCATAAATCCTTAGTAAAATAAAAATACATCCATGTTATGTTAAATATCACACAACCTGACCTTTTTTTTTTTTTTTTTTTTATTTTTTTATTTTTTATTTTTTTACAACCTGACCTTTTAAAAAATTTTTTGTCAATATTCTTTAGCAGCTAAAGATTTGAAAAGAGGAAGATTCTCA